AATATTAGTTCATGTCAAAATTAAGTATATATCATCTTTGCCTCCATTCATACAATCTAAGTACATATAGTGCCACATTCAATAAGAATCACATCTTCCAAAGCATTAAGAGAAACATTTGCTTAATGTCTTAGACCAACCAAAGCACAAACTCAGAAGGAACAAGGCAAAGATATAAAAGGATTTTAATCCCTAAAGTTAAAAATGAGTGCCAAGAGAATTCAGCTGGAAATTTGGCTGAGGTTAAATGGCTGGATCCAGAGAGTAAATCAAGTGACATTAATCTAGGATTATTTAAAATCCCACACATTAATTTATGTTCATAGGTTTTTAAAATTTATTCATTCCAAAAGCAAAAGGGGTAACCTTTTGAGAAATACAAAATGGATTCATTCATTCAACACAGATATAATGAATGCAAACAAAAGTAAATTATAGAAAGTGATGCAAGTGGGCCAGTAGGCAAGTTGTTCTAGAGAAAGAGGTAAGATTTAGCATGCATCATTTTTTACAAAAACTATGTAATCATTATCTTCAGGGGGAAAACTTAAATTATATGCATAAAGAGCAATGCATGTACTATGATTAGCAAATTGTCCTTTGTGTTTTCCAAGGTTTTCTGGGAAATTAACTTATTAAAAAAACATGCTAAATAGAAAGAGAAGAGGCTATGGATTAAGAAGAATAAATAAAAGATTAAAGTTATATTCAGCTGTTAAGAGAGGCAGAAACTATATTTCAGAAATTCCAACCAGAAAAAGGCAATGATTTTTAGGATTAAAGGCCCAGAGGCAAGACCGAGATGTAATAAGTAAATGGAATGGTTCAGCCAGGACACCATGGTCCATGTGGGCAAGCATGCGCTTAAAAGGGCGTTGGAACAGAACAAAGTTAAGGCCAAATCAGAAAAATACTTAACACCCATTTAAGGAGTGTAGGCAATGAGGTAATGGTGAGGCTCTAAAGGTTTTTTAACTAAGAAGTGATACCATGGTGGTCAGTGGGTAGACAAATCGGCCTGGGGAACGAAGGGGTCCTGGGTTCGATTACAGTCCAGGGAGCAGGCCCGGGTTGGGGGCTCGATCCCCAGTAGGAGGTGTGCAGGGGGCAGCCGACCTGGTGATTCTCTCTCTCTCATCGTGGATGTTTCCATAGTACATTTCCAAGGGTTTTCAGTTTGCTTTTGTCGTATATGTCCTGTTCATACCACCAGCTTTGCAGAGTGAAAGTGCATTAAAAATAATTCTATGATCACTTTTTTTAACCCTCTGGACTAATGACAACTTTACTTTCTCATGAAATAAAAATTAATGACAAAGTTGTATCTCATGTTCTTTTACACCTATGAATATTTACTTCTAATTGCATGAGTCGAGGCTCAGCTTTCATGAGTGACCTCCCTGAATGAGTGACTTCTTCAAAAATGTCATCATTCCTCTTGTTTTAACATGCCCTCTGTCTTGGACTCCCATCTGTTTTTCCTCCGCAGAGAGATGGGGGTCTTGGAAGGCCTTTTGTGATGA